GGAAGACATTAAAGGAGAGATTAATAGCAATACAACCATAGTAGGAGATTTTAATACCTCACTGTCACCATTGGACAAATCATCTAAACAAGAAATCAGCAAAGAGGAGAAACCAAGATGACAGCATAGGGAAGACACCTGAATGCAGCCTACCACAACAATTTTGAATTTAGAACTGGAAAACAGGGAAACATTGACCTGAAGCACTGGACAGCTGGCTGAGAGGAGGCTCAACCATCTGGAAAGGAAAGAGAAGGTACGCTGAACCTCAGGAACCGTGAAGGTGTGGTGAACTGTGTGCACAAAAAGGCAGCCGCCCGACTTCTCTGTTGGCTTGCTTGTGGAGTGCGGAGAGGGCTGGCTGAGTTCGCTACTGCCTTACTCCCTGCGCGCAAAGAGGGCGGACAGCTAATGCGTGGCTACCTTTCTTGTTAGGAAGAAAAACAGAACCACTCTATTGCTCTGATAGATGGCCCCAACAGGGAAAGGCCAGACTGTCAGGCAGTAGACAGAGATCTCTCGGAGGTGTGTGAAGCCAGCGGCCATTACTGAGGGACTCAGAAACCAGACCCTCGTAGGGAGGGGCTGACCAAAGTTTGTCTGCACCACCCCAAGACTCTCCCCAACCAAGCGGAGCACAGAAGCCCTTCCAGTGTCTAGCTTTCTCGTTTGCCTCGAATAGGACTCTCCTAGGGAGGGTCAGACAGGAATCCAAGCTTGTATGTGCATATCCCAAAGAGGTGCACGCACCTACAACCAATCTTGCAGAATTCACCAAAGATTGTCTGTGCCACCCCAAGACTCTGCCCCATCCAAATGGAATACAGAAACACTTCTGATCCTCATAGCCAATTATTATAGCTTGGAGATCAGCGCTTCCCAGTGATACCAACAACAAGCAAGGCTTAAAAACAAGTCTGCAAACAGCCCACATAGGGCTACACCAAGACTGTCCACCTCAGGTAACTGGGAGGCTGAACCACTGAACCATATAAGACACCTTAGCACACAAAGCCACCCAACCAACTCAGGGAAGCTATAAAAATGCCAAGACAAGGGAACATATCACAAATAAAAGAAATGGAGGACAAGAAGCGACTGGATATAAAGTTCAAAACCACGGTTATAAGGTTTTTGAATAATTTCCTAGAAAAGGCCAATAAAATAAATAAGACCTATGAGGATATGAAAAGGGATCAATTAGAAATAAAGAATACATTGTCTGAAATAAAAAATATTCTACAGAGTCCTAAAAACAGAATGGAAGACTGCAAGAATCAAGTCAAAGATTTGGAAAATAAAGAGCTAGAGGACACTCCTCCACAGAAGCAAGAAGATAAGAGAATCCAGAAAGTTGAAGATAGGACAATTTCAAATGAACAAACATCAGAATTATGGGGGTCCCAGAAGAAGAGAGAGAGCAAGATACCAAAAGCATATTGGAAAAAATAGTGACAGAAAACTTCTCCCACCTGGTGAAAGAAATAGACTTACAAGTCTAGGAAGCTCGAAGAACCCCAAACAAAAGGAATCCAAAGAGGACCACACCAAGACACATCAGAATTAAAATTCCAAGAGCAAAAGACAAAGAGAGAATATTAAAAGGAGCAAGACAAAAGCAGGTAGTTACCTATAAAGGAGCAACCATATGACTGTCAGCTGATTTCTCAACAGAAACCATGCAGGCCAGACTGGAATGGCAAGAAATATTCAAAGTGATGAATAGCAAGAACCTACAGTCAAAAATACTCTACCCAGCAAAACTATCACTCAGAATCAAAGGCCATATAAAGAGCTTCACAAAAAAAAAACAAAAAAAAACCTAAAGGAATTCATGACCACCAAACCAGAATTATATGAATTGCTAAAGGAGGTTCTTTAGGAAGAAGAAGAAGATAAAGGTAAAAATTATGATCAACAAATATGTAACTATCAACAAGTAAAACTAAAAACCAAGGGAATTAAAAAATCTGATGAACAATATTAAGTGGTAAATATAATAGAATCAGAGGTATGGAAAGGGAGTGGACTGATGATTCTTGGAAAAAAGGGGAGTGGGGGGTGCGGGAAGAGACTGAACAAAAACTGTGCACAATTGGGGGGGGAGAGGAACATTTGTAACAATCTGAATAAAGACTTATTAAAAAAAGAAAGAAAGAAAGAAAGAAGAAAGAAAGAAAGAAAAGAAAGAAAGAAAGAAAGAAAGAAAGAAAGAAAGAAAGAAAGAAAGAAAGAAAGAAAGAAAGAAAACATCAACAAAGAAATATTAACCCTAAATGACTCACTAGACCAGATGGAATTAATCGACATCTTCAGAACATTCCACCCCAAAGCCACAGAATATACATTCTTCTCAAGTGCACATGGGTAATTTTCAAAGATAGACCACATGTTAGGACATGGGCAAAATCTCTTCAAATTCAAGAAGATAGAAATCATATCAAGCATCTTCTCAGATCATAGTGGCATAAAACTGGAAATTAACTACAATGAAAAAAATCCAAAGGAATCAAACACATGGAGACTGAATAGCCTGCTATTAAACAAGGACTGTGCTGCCAGAAAAATCAAGGAAGAAATTAAAAACATCCTGGAAACAAATGACAATGATAACACAACAATCCAAAACCTATGGGACACAGCAAAAGCAGTTTTGAGAGGGAAGTTCATATCTCTACAAGCCTATTGCAAAAAAAACAGGAAAAAATGGTAACAAATTATCTAACTCTACAACTCAAAGAGTTAGAAAAAGAGCAACAAGAAAAGCCCAGTGTAAGCAGAAGGAGGGAAATAAAAAAATCAGAGTGGAGATAAACAACATAGAGAACAAAGAAACAACACATTAAAAACTGGTTCTTTGAAAGGATAAACAAGATTGATGAACCTCTAGCTAGGCTAACAAAGAAACAAAGAGAGAGGACTCAAATAAACAAAATCAGAAATGAAAGAGGTAAAATAATGACAGACCCTGCCAAAATAAAAAGGATTGTTACAAAATACTATGAACAACTTTATTCCAACAAACTGGAAAACCTGGAGGAAATGGACACATTCCTAGAAAAATACAAACTTCCAAAACTCAATCAGGAAGAATCTAAAAATCTCAATAAAAAAGTAACTTGGGAAGAAATTGAAACAGTCATCAAAAATTTTCCAGCAAACAGAAGCCCAGGGCCAGATGGCTTCACAGGAGAGTTTTGCCAAACATTCAAAGAAGAACTAAAACCTATCCTCCTCAGACTATTCCAAAAAATTCAAGAGAAAAAAGCACTTCCAAACTCCTTCTATGAAGCCAGCATCACCCTAATACCAAAACCAGATAAAGACAACTCAATGAAAGAAAATTACAGGCCAATATCCCTCATGAACATAGATGCCAAAATCCTCAACAAAATTCTAGCAAATCAGCTCCAGCAGAATATCAGAAAGATCATACACCATGTCCAAGTAGGATTTATTCTGGGAATGCAAGGATGGTACAATATCCACAAATCAATAAACATGATACATCACATAAACAAATTGAAAGATAAAAATCATAGAGTCACATCAATTGATGCAGAAAAAGCATTTGATAAAATCCAACACCCTTTCCTGATAAAAACTCTCAGCAAGGTGAGAGTACAAGGATCATACCTCAACATAATAAAAGCTATTATGTGATAAACCCACAGCCAACATCATACTCAATGGTCAAAAACTAAAACCATTCCCTCTAAGTACAGGAACAAGACACGGATTCCCACTCTCACCACTACTGTTTGACACAGTACTGTAAGTACTAGCCATTGCAATTAGACAAGAAGAGGAAATAAAAGGCATTGGAAAAGAAGAAGTAAAGTTATCCTTATTTGCAGATGACATGATATTGTACATAAAAAAAACAAAAGACTCGATTAAAAACCTAATTGACTTAATAAATGAATTTGGCAATGTAGCAGGATAGAAAATAACGCCAAGAAATCTATGGCATTTATATACACCAGCAGCGAACTTATAGAAACAGAGACTAAAAAAGCAATTCCATTTACCATCACACCAACTTAATAAAAGGAAGATGAATGAGCCAATTAAAAAATGGGCAATGGGCCTAATTAGAATATTTTCAAAAGAAAACAGAAGGAAGGCCAAGAGGCACATGAAAACATGCTCAAAGTCACTAATTATCTGAGAGATGCAAATCAAAACAACAATGCGGTACCATCTCACACCTGTCAGAATGGCCAACATCAACAAATCAACAAACCACAAGTGTTGGTGAGGTTGCAGAGAAAAAGGAACCTCGTGCACTGCTGGTGGGAATGCAGACTGGTGCAACTACTGTGGAGAACCGTATGGAGCTTCCTCAAAAAACTGAAAATGGAGTTCCCATTTAACCCAGTAATCCCACTCCTAGGAATAATCCCAAGAAACTAGAAATACCAATCAGAAAGGATATATGCACCACTATGTTCATAGCAGCACAATTTACAATAGCCAAGATTTGGAAACAGCCTAGGTGCCCGTCAGCAGATGATTGGATCAAAAAACTGTGGTGCATCTACACAATGGAATATTATGTTGCCATAAAAAAGAACGCATTCTCATCATTTGCAGCAACCTGGATGGAATTGGAGAACATCATGCTGAGTGAAATAAGCCAGTCAATGAAAGAGAAACACCACATGACCTCACTCATTTATTGGTAATAAAGAACATTATAAACTGATGAACCAAAAGATAGATATAGAGACAGAAAGCAATAAGCAGACTGTCAAATTACAGCAGGGAGGGTGGGAGATCTGGGGGAGATAAGAGATCAACCGAAGGACTTGTATACATGCATATAAGTACAACCAATGGACACAAAACTCTGGGACAGGAAGGCATGTATGGGAGGGGTGCAATGGTATGATATGTACACAGATAATAATTTAATTTTTTAAATGGTAATAAATTAATTAATTAATTAATTTTTTAAAATGAGGTAGCATTTCTAGAAACAAAGTGAAAACCTCAACCTGGGATTCAAACAATCCAACAGCCATTTTTCATTCCTTCTTCAATTTTCTCTTTTGGAGAACAAAGTCCTAAAAAGGGAAGAGTTAAGGAAGAAAAATGGTAGACCAACCCTATGTTGCTGATTTTAGACTTACAATGATAGAACTATTGCCTGGGTTGTGGTTCCCACAACCCAGCCCTATTCACTTCCAAGATCTGAGAAAAAAGCCAAAACTGATATTAATCCCTGAAGTTCTAAATGATAATAACATTTAGCCTGAATTCACTAAAATCTAAAATCCTACGGCTAACAAAGAAGTATGATCTAGCTGTGGCAATCCCTTAGACCTTATTTCCCCCCTTGCTTACTCTACTCTAGGTACACATGTTTCCTTATAGTTCCTCAAACACTGTGTACAATCTTTCTTCAAGGCTGCTTGTTGCATTTGCTTTTCCTATTGCCTGGATATGTCTCACTCCCTTTCTTCATTCCTATCTGTGCTCAGTTGTCACCATATCAGAGGGACTTCCAGTCTTTTTTTCCTTATTTTGATTTCTTTTTCTTCTTAGAATTTAACACGCTCTAACATAGTACTTATTTTTTCCCTACTTAGTTATCTTGCCAATCAGTGGTGTAGATCTAAAAGGGCTAGGATTTTTTTTTTTTTGGGGGGGGGGTCCACTGGTATATCTCTAGTGCTACAATAATGCAAAAATCATTGTTACATTCTCAAAAAATATTTGATAAGTGAATAAATAAATCTTACTGTGCTTCCTGTAATATGTAATATGTTGTATTTGTCTTAACTTATTTAATCTTCACAAAACTGCCAAGATAGATGTTATCCCCATTTTACCAACAAGTGAAATTGAGGTAAAAAAAAAAAAGCTTAAAAACTAACTTGAAGTCATAAGAGTCAGATTATAGTGTGACTCAAACTCTGGTTCTCTTTCAAGAGACCACAATGCTTGAATAAGAAATATTTAATATAAACTGAGAAATCAATGCCATATATTTCTTAGAAAAGCATCTTTAGGGATGGAATATATTACACTATTACTCCACAGAAATGAAGCCAGAGGCAGTCATTGCCAAATTTTAAAACTAAAACAGTAACAAACTCCACATCCTCAAATATGTTCCTTGTACTCTCAGAGCCTACATTTCTCCATTCTGAAAATTAGAATAGTTGTTCTTGACCTTTAATGTAGGCTACATGACACCCTAATTCTGGGCTACTATGCACTAGCCAACTCAGTCTCTAACAAAGTTATTTCCTTAATGCAATGCAGCTTTAAATTGTTCATAAAAGCCTTTGTAACCTGAGAGGAAAATCGAAGTCTTCTCATCGAAGTCTTCTCAGCACCTGAGAGCCCTAAGTAGTATCTGCATAAAACAAATGTATTTTAAATTTTTATTTGAAAAAAAAAGATGTGTATCCTTTGGGTAATATTTTCCAAGTTTCAGGTAAACCAGCTAAAAAAAAGTTGTGTTAAAGACTTGGGTATTATATAGTCCACAATCTGCTCCCAGCCTCTCTCTCTAATCCTTCACTCACTGTCTGTATGTCCTTGGGCAATGTAATCCACTTCTCAGAAACTTTTTTCTTTACTGTCAAGATTGCCATACAGAAGTGATCCTTGTTTCCACTTAGATTCTCATACGTTTTGGAAAGGAAACGAGAATATTTTCCTTTATTAACTGAGAAAGTCAGAACCAAAAATTTAGCTCACTTAGTACATCAGGAAAAGAGCTGCGGATCAACCTCTCTCAGTGCCAAACATAAAAAAAGTATAACGAGGAAAATGTTAAAATCTCCAATTCCATGGCCTAAGGAGAGGAAGGCTGAGCTTTCATGGTGCGATTTCCCATCGCACAGGCAGCCAATTTGAGGATGGTCTCACTACAATGTCCTCAGACTGGGTTCACAAAGGAACTGAAGGAAGAGAACCAGATTTAGTTCTCATGTTCCAGAGGTTCCTGCTCCAAGACCACAGACAATACCCTTAGAATCCAGGGCCTCTATTTTTTACTTTGGTAATTAAAAGCAAGGGCTCGAGAGCTAATCCCCATTTTGTCACTTATTAACTGTGTGAACCTAGGCAAGTAATTTTAATCTTCCTGTAACTCAAAATCACACGCTGAGTCACACATACACACGAATTCTCACTCAATCACACCCATAATGTCATACACAAACATAGTCACATTAACACATAGTTACAGATTGTGATAACACAATTACAAACACAATTACGCGCGCGTGGTGACACACAAAAATCACATTTTGTCACACCTGTAGCCTGTCACACAATCACCCAATGACACCCACCTGGTCGTCATCCTGTGCCATGTGGTCCAGCCCAGCTCACTTCTTGCTCCCGCGCAAAGCCAGGCCCAGCTCACCTCCCAGCACTGTGGGTTCTGGAAACCTGACGAGCCACCCGAGACCCGCGATGTCGCCTCTCAGAATCCCGAGCGGGGCGTAGAAGGGCAGAGGCTGAGGCGCGCTGAACCCCAGAAATTAGCTGGGGAAACATACAGCTACACTGATTTAGACTGTCTCAGCTTTTCCTTGAGACTCCGCGAACCTCCAGCCCAGAAGGCTTTGCGCAGCAAAGTTCTTTGCTAAACTACATTTCCCAGAGGGCCCAAGGCCCACCTCTACTTTGCGCTGGCGTTCTTGGCGGCCTTACTGCGATACCGCAGAGCTGAGTGTCTGTCCGGGCAGCACTGGGCTTTCATATGACCCTGAGCGACTGCGTGTGAGGACACGGTGATGCTGCGAGTGTCTGTGATTGTATGCTGAGGGGTGGCCGTTGTTAGCACAAGGTGGGTGGCAGGTACTGTTGGTGCTGAAAGCTTCTAAATTTTAAATCACCTCCTGTAATTGGGATCATTATGTGACAGCCCGTGGGGCTGTCGCACGGAGAATGTGAGTTATTGTGGTTGTGTGAGAGTTCTGTGGTTGATTTTGAGCTTCACCGGTTTTGTTACTGTGTTGTTATTCTAGAGGTCGTAGTTGACCCGCGACAGGCGGTGGAACTTTGTTTCTAGTCTTGCCTTTAAGGTTGAGACCCAGAAAGAAGTCCTTATGTGTCTCAGTGTGTAACTGTTTCCAGATCTAACTGTTCTTCCATCCCCACCCCATCCCTCACCCCCAGGCATGGTCGGAGTCACTGTTATCTGCATTTTTATATCCCTTTTCCACTTGCACCTGATGCGATGTGGGCACAGCAGGGTAAGTAGATTCCATTTGTAGGAAGATGCTCATTTGTACTATTTATGTTGTAGCCAGTAGCTCTGGAGTTTCCCCTGTTGCTGCTTCCACCTTTTCACTTTACAACTTTGGTGTCCAACTTTAAGAAACTACCCTCCCCTCTCCCCCCCCCCACACACACACACACAAACACACCCACGAGCGCAAAAGAGGAAAGTGCCCACAGTCAGGAGGACAAATGCGAGCCCCTGAAGTGATGTTAAAAACACAGTTGAACAGTAGTTGAAGTGGGTGGAGGGTAGAGAGAAAAAAAAAATTCAGGAACTATTTCAATAGGGAAATAGAGATCAGTATAAAACTGAGCTCAGTTTCAAATACAGCAAGAACAAGTCGGGATTTATAGGAAAGGAGCAAGTTGGGGGAGGGGCGGGGTCAGTGTATGGAAAATTACTAAGAGAAGACATAGGATAGGGAGGAATTTTTGCTAGAAAAAGATTCTTGCTGAGAGGAAGCCAAGGTGATCAATTATCATGTGAGTGGATAAGGAATGTAATTAGATATTGTGAACACATATCAAGAACTCTGGCTAAACCAACTTGACAGAATTCTTGCTAAAACTAAGTGGTACAAAGGCAAACTGAAGTGAAAAGGTTGAAGTCAAGGTAAGAAGAGTATTCAGCCCTAACTGGTTTAGCTCAGTAGATAGAGCATATGCCTGTGGACTGGAGGGTCCTGGGTTCGATTCCAGTCAAGGGCACATGCACGGATTGTGTCCCCTGTGTGAGGGTGTGCAGGAGGTAGCCAATCAATGATTGTCTCTCATCATTGATGTTTCTATCTCTTCCTCATTGAGAGCAATCCTATCTAATAAAAGAGTAATATGCAAATTGACCATCACTCCAACACACAAGATGGCCACCCCCATGTGATCAAAGATGGCAGTCCCCATGTGGACACAAGATGGCCGCTACAAGATGGCCTGCAAGGGAGGAAGGTTGGGAGGGACCAGGCCTGCAAGTGAGAGAAGTTGGAGGCAGGGGGACCTAGGCCTAGAGGGGAGGACAGTTGAGGAGGACCAAGGCCTAAAGGGAGGACAGTTGGGGGCAATTGGGCCCACAGGGGAGGGCAGTTGGGTGACCAGGCTGGCAAGGATAGGCAGTTAGAGATGACCAGGCCAGCAGTGAAGGGCAGTTGGGGGCAACAAGGCCAGCAGGGAAGGGCAGTGGGGGTTACCAGGCCAGCAAGGGAGGGCAGATAGGGGTGACCAGGTCAGCAGGGGAGGGCAGTTAGGGGTGACCAGGCAGCAAGGGAGGGCAGTTAAGGGTGACCGGGCCAGCAGGGGAGGGCAGTTGGGACAGCAGGGGAAGATAGTTGGGAGGGAACAAGGCCTGCAGGGGAGGAGAGTTGGGGGGTGGGGGAAAGACCAGGCCAGCAAGGGAGGGCAGTTAAGGGTGACCTGGTGGCAAGGGAAGGCAGTTAGGGGTGACCAGGCAGCAAGGAACGGCAGTTAGGGACTATCAGGCTGGCATGGGAGCAGTTTGGCATTAATCAGGCTGGCAGGGGAGTGGTTAGGGGTGATCAGGCTGGCAGGCAGGTGAGCAGTTGGGAGCCAGCAGTCCTGGATTGTGAGAGGGATGTCTGATATCCCTCAAGGGATCCCAGATTGGAGAGGGTGCAGGCTGGGCTGAGGAACGCTCCCTCCCCATGCATGAATTTCGTGCACTGGGCCTCTAGTAAAAATATATTTTTTAAAAAGAAGAGTGTTCAAAGGAACCTGATCAAGGAGAGAGTCTTTGACAGTGAAAGTGAAAACACACACACATACA